CAATAATTTTGGTTGTTATTTCACAAATAATTGAAACTACTCTATGCCAGCACTGTTGCCACCAGAAGTAGTTTAGTTTTCTCTCCCACCTACAGCTGCTGTTTGTACTCTCCAGCTGCTCTGTTGCTTGGGCCAGCACCAGCACCTGTAGGAGCATAGAGGGATGCTCACAAGAATGAGGTGCTGGAAGCAAAAGAAGGGCAGGATGGGTCCTTGTGGCAGCAGCACTGGCTCAAGTGCTGGCTGAAAGTGTTTGCTGAATTACCACAGCAGCCCACGGTTAAAAAACCTGTAATTGCCCTGCAGCCACATCCTTACTGTGCTAATGACTCTGATGTGACTGCCTGCTCTGCAGTGAAAAGGAATATATTTATTAATTTTGTTGCATATATGGCATCCTATATTGCAAATAGCTACTTGCCTCTGAGAATGTTTATACTGACCAAGGAAAGCATATATGTGTCATCACTAATATCAATACGAGTTAAACATTTAAAAGAGCTAGATTTATTTCTGTGAATTGCTTTTAAACATTTCCAGTGACATGTAAATTAGGGGCAATGTGTCTACATTTCAAAAATCTTAAGATATTTTTAGAAAGTATCTCAAACCTAAATCTGCTTGTGAAGCAGCTTGGAAACAGAAATATACACTTGATCAGTTTTGCTGATATTCTTGTGCATGGAAATGTGCAGAATTAAGTCTGAAGACTGCTAGCTTTTTTATACAATGAAGCGTTTGTTGGAAACATGAGCAACCAGTTTGCTGATATAAGAGGAAAATCTTTTTCTCCTTATTAATACATTGGAAAATGAGCTTGAAATGTGTAATTTCATATTAATAGCATACTTTAATCTTCTAGCATATATCTGAAAATAACATGTGTGAACCTGAGCCATATGGCATTTAATTCTAGGGATAATAAACCTGTTTGTTAACTGATTTAGTAATCCCAAGAGAAATCAAAGAGTTCAATGCTTAATTCATTTGCAGTGTATATTAAATTAATCTCAGAATGTAGAACAAATTCAAAGAAGAGAAGGAAATTAATTTCCAGTACCTAGAAAGGATTCCTCTAACCCTAGTAGTGCAAGTAGTACTTTTAAATAGAATGTCTACCACAATGAGAAGACTCAAAAAATATTACCGGTAATTAATATTCTCATTTTCAACTACACGGTGAAAATGGAACTTCCTCACTGCCAACTCAGCAAACTGCTTACAGGTGAATCTTAATTGATTTACTTGCACATTTGGCTTTGAAGGTCATATCACTTTCAGAAATCTGGAACGCTTGATTATACCATTGAGAAAGACACAGTTATTCAACTGATTGCTCTCCTCACCTAGCTTCATGGAGCCTGGAGAGCCTGGCTGGACCCTGAACTCTAAGGGGGCCTTATCCTATTTGGAACTGACTCCGGTAAACTGAACTCTAGAGATAAACTCTGGAGCTAGCACAAATTCCCAATGCTGCTGGGAAAGTGGGAGTTCTTTTTCTCCATCTGGGACATTTTAGAATCTAACCTTATAGTTAAATAACTGTGTAAATACACAGCATTATTTTATGGTACATAATCACTATATGATGAGAGATTTTATACCCTTTTTCTGAGGCTATAACCTCCAAGACCTACCACTGCTCATATTTTTAAATAGTCTTATACAAGAGATAACACTAATGAAAATTTAAAAAAAAAATAGATAATACAGGTCTTGATAGTTGATGTTAGGTTATAAAACCAAACAACAACAATAATAGAGTGGCAGGTGTTCACCTCCTCCTAAGAACTGCCCACTGTAAATCTCCTTTCCTACAAATATTTCAGAAACAGAAATGAAAAACTGAACAAAAGATAAAACAGTCTACTTGTTTAGGAATAACATCATATTAGTCCCCCCAATCATTTTTAGAAAAACACAGTACAATGTTAACTTAAAAAAAGTTTAAAGAAGTTTAAAATCAAGTCCAGTGCTGCAGATTTCTGTTCCATTGATGTAATATTACTTAAAACAAACATTTTACATGCTTTCTCAGCCATTTCACTGTTTTTACATGATCCACCCAAATATCTAACTGCTGTCTGGAACAATGGTTTGGAATACTTCCAGATTACTAAGATTTCTAAATGTTAAAATAACTAATATGCAGCATATGATGAATAAAAAGATACTGAACAGAGTATAGCAAATGCTCTTAAAGTACTGACTTCAATGGTGATGTTACATTAATAATAGTACTTTTACACTTTGCAACACCTTACTGCTAAAGACTTCAAAGTGCTTTATAAGCAATAATTAATTTAAATCATACATTGGCTCTGAAAGGCAGATATTATATTACCATCATTGATTATCTCTGGAAACAAAGTAATGTAATATTCTAGACATTACATTAATATAGTTGTAAGCTATTAACTTTTTATATTCAGGGACTATGTTTCATGAAGCTTTTTACAAACTTGTTTTAAAAAGCCAGTAAAAACTTGGTCTCTTTGAAAACTTCTATCAAACATATATTAAGTGCAATTCAGTATCTATTTTTAATATATTACTGAGGATTTTTTACATATAATTCCTCGCTATTGCCTGTTGCCTACAACACAACTCTGTTCGCAACAGCGAAACAGTGAAGAATGATATTTAAAAAATCTGTTTAAACTCTGCTGTATTGTAGAAGACTGTGTATATATATAGAGAACAGTTTAGTTGCAGTGCTAAATTTATCCCAACAACATCAACAGAGGATTAAGTGCAAGAACAAAAGAATTCTTCAGAAATTAACTTAGTTAGTCTTCAATCAGTTCATTTAAAAATGTGGGAGAAAGAAATTCTAACGGTCCTCTATACCTTCATGCATTGCAGGAGAACATCTCCAGGTGAATATGTTCATATTTTTGTTTGTTTCCAGCTAAAAATAAAACTGGGCTTTTGTGTCCACTAGACACTTATCCCATACCAACATCACCATACTCCAAAGGTAGAATCGTAATTACTAGGAGTCATGGGATCTATATCAGTACCATTCAGAGCAACAACTTGCACCTTCTGCTGGACGTTAACATAGAGGTATATTCATGAAACGTTAAAATAATTTCCATTTTTATTATTTAAACCTGTAGGCAAACGTGCCACAAAAACACGCAGGCTAGCTGTGCAATGTAAACACTAACTTTTGAAAAACATGTCTTACCCATCACTGGTAGTAATTGTTAGCAGTCACTCACAATCTTCTGAAGTCTACAAAAACACACCAAAGACCTCTCTTCCCTAAGAATAAATTTCTTCATCTCCCATTGTCTACTTTTGCTGTCACACACTAGATAACCTAAGCGACAAAACAGTTTAGAGTCTGAAGCAAATATACAATTAAGACACAAAATGGCCCAACTATCCTTCACAAGTCTTCCCCTGGAAATGCAATCTGGGTGCTCTGATTCCACCTTTTTTCATAGCAGCCATAGTAGACGCAGTCTCCAAAAGTTCTGTCAGAGTTGTGTTATTTTTAACCCTAACCCTTTCTCTGTAGTGTCCCCTTGGCTAAGAAGACAGGGGGATCTTTCTACAAAAGGGTCCTCTACTGTCTGGAGTTTGTGGAAAACAAAACCAACAATCAGAGGAATTTGTGCACGGAGAATGGGGTGAAGAAGGAGAATAACCAGCAGTACTACTGAATGAGCCTCAGCGTAGTAAGACTCTACAAAAAATGGAATTTGCTGATATAAGGACAGTGACAAGTTACTCCACAGCAGTGGGCTACTAAATTAAGAGAAGTTCAGAGTGATGACAGCATTGCCTGCACACTCACATGTGTTAGCGTCTACATGGGTACCTCTGGTGTCCCATTTCCAATTTTCTATTTCTGTCAGGAAGATCAGAAAACATGAAAAGTTGAGATTTCACTTTTACCATTCAACTCCACAAGATGGCCCACAGAATCAGGCTTGTGTTGTCAATCTGCACATACATACATACATACATACATCATACATATATATATATATGTCTGTGTTAATTTCCTCTTTTCTGGTTGATCAACGCTGTAGGGATACTTTCCTGCTGCCTTCACTCCATGACTTCTCCTAGTTCAAGGTCACTCACTGACTCTTCATGTTTATGAACTCTCAGTATACTTAGTCTAAATCACAACTTTATTCTTTCTTGGAGAATACAATTTTCTCCCTAGGCTCTCACTTATCCTACAGGAAAGCTATACTTGGTGTGTCAGAAGCAGTGTCAGCTGGTATATGACTCCCCCTGACACAACTGAACATGTGCTCTTCCCTGCACTACAACTAGTGACATGGGGCACTGGCATGAAGGAGTGCTTTCATGGCTTGTGTAATGATGTAGAGTAAACCATGGCATAATTCTGTATATGACATGCTCATAAATTAAGTTTAGCACCCTGATATTTGAAACTGCCCATCACTGGCTAAAGAAAATATTGTTTATAACGAGATAATCAGTATTTTGGAACTGAAAAAATGCTTGATAGATAATCATCCAAGACCTCTTTCAGATTATGTTATCTGTATTCACATTGAATAAAGCCTTCTGATACTCTGCTGCAAAGTCTTACATAAGGCAACAAGCAGGAAATGTTAGACCCAGATCTCATCCTGACTTCACAGAACTACC